TTGGACTACCATTTCAATATTTCAGTAGTTGGTGTTTTTTAACAATTTTGTTGTTTAACATGTGGGCATTCAGTCAGTACTCGTTTTCACAATGCATTCTGGGAATTTCTAGCGAGCATATGTATACTGCGATTACATTGACAGTGACTCGCTAAAGGGCCGTTCACACCAAAGACAATAACTAATAAAAACTACAGTAATCATTCCGACTTTAGGAGAATTAGGGAAGTCCACGCCATATCTATAACAAAAAACAGGTAACACTTTAGTATAGGGACTGATTTTCACTATTAACTAGTTGCTTATTAGCATGCCCATTATCAGCATATTGGCTGTTTATTAGTAGTTATAAAGCACATATTCTGCATGACCATATTCTACGTCCTTAATCCTACCCAATACCTAAACTTAACTACCTTACTAACTATTAATAAGCAGCAAATTAGGAGTTTATTATGGCAAATGTTGTTGTTAATGGTTTGTTGTTGGTGAGAATTGTACATTAAAATAAAGTGTGACCCAAAAGCAATAATTTTTCCAGTTAATGAACACTAAAAACAATGACAGCCAATCAGAATCCCCTTGACTTTACAGAGCTTGAGCAGATGACAACTGCAGCGTGTGCTTATATAATCAACAAAATCTTATCATGTTTTTGTGTGGAGGCTAATATAGCTATCTTTATGGTTATTTATCTTGGTGTGAAGAAGCCTTAAAGGGGTGGTTGATTGCGATTTCACTTTTTTAACATTAGTTAGTGTGTAATGTTGCTGTTTGAGCATAAACAATATCTGCAAAGTTACAAAGCTGAAAGTTCAATGCAAACGATATACGGATATATCGTCTTTTAAAATTCTGGCGGTTTAATGCCTACAAAAATGGCTGGTAGGGACTACAACGAGTTATTTTCCGGGTTCGAGACATCACAAACCCAGATAAACCCCACTCTCGGTAAAAGGCAGCAAAGGGAGCGAGGCCATGCTGCGCTGCTTTAGAGAAGAGGACTTCTAGAAAACTAGAGGTGCACGTAAAAATCTGTTCAGATATGAATCGCGATATTGGTCACCTCCCCCACTAGTCTTTATCCGCATCTAGCCCTTTGGGCAGCTGTCACATAATCCAGCTAATCAGAGGCCGAGTGTGTGGGAACAGGACTGTCCCCATGCTAACGCGTCTCTCTCCCTCTCACGCGCACACACCCTGACATTCTGACCTTTCTTCTTGGGTGCGCGCATGCCATTAATTTACTGATGGAGCTTTGGACCAAATCCACATGTATCCACAAGCATGCTCACACAAACACGTATTTTGCGTCCACGCAGATGCTTGCTACCACGAGACCCCACTAATACGCTCTCTCACAGTGGCCGCCCCCCGTGTTGGGGGATGGGAGGAGAGGTCAGAAGCCCTGCAGCATGTTGTGGGATGATCCACGTTCATGTCAAATAATCCATCTTTTTAAGACACATCTGTTGTACGTCTGCATGGATATGTGGCCCACCCACTCCCACTCCAACCCATCCAGACAGACCTGGTGCTGCCGCTAATCCCTGACTGCATCCACCAGCCCACAGCCCCCAACCTCGCCAACCAGGCCGTCTGGCTCCGCCCCTCTCAATCCACCTCTGGAGATGAATGAGATGTGTGCGTAAATCAAACAGGTCAACTTGCTCTGTGTTTACGTGCACTTTAAAGGTTTGATTTCAATCGAACCTAAGCAGTAATCAGTCTTTTTAAAATAATATAAATATATTAGTCTGGTTAAGGTGTTATTCTGTTTTTTTCTGGTTAAGGTGTTATTCTGTTTTTTCAGACTAGCAGACCTAGATGTTGTATTTATAGCATGTATACAAATTATTCAGACTACATTTGGCGTGCAATTGGACTACCATTTCAATATTTCAGTAGTTGGTGTTTTTTAACAATTTTGTTGTTTAACATGTGGGCATTCAGTCAGTACTCGTTTTCACAATGCATTCTGGGAATTTCTAGCGAGCATATGTATACTGCGATTACATTGACAGTGACTCGCTAAAGGGCCGTTCACACCAAAGACAATAACTAATAAAAACTACAGTAATCATTCCGACTTTAGGAGAATTAGGGAAGTCCACGCCATATCTATAACAAAAAACAGGTAACACTTTAGTATAGGGACTGATTTTCACTATTAACTAGTTGCTTATTAGCATGCCCATTATCAGCATATTGGCTGTTTATTAGTAGTTATAAAGCACATATTCTGCATGACCATATTCTACGTCCTTAATCCTACCCAATACCTAAACTTAACTACCTTACTAACTATTAATAAGCAGCAAATTAGGAGTTTATTATGGCAAATGTTGTTGTTAATGGTTTGTTGTTGGTGAGAATTGTACATTAAAATAAAGTGTGACCCAAAAGCAATAATTTTTCCAGTTAATGAACACTAAAAACAATGACAGCCAATCAGAATCCCCTTGACTTTACAGAGCTTGAGCAGATGACAACTGCAGCGTGTGCTTATATAATCAACAAAATCTTATCATGTTTTTGTGTGGAGGCTAATATAGCTATCTTTATGGTTATTTATCTTGGTGTGAAGAAGCCTTAAAGGGGTGGTTGATTGCGATTTCACTTTTTTAACATTAGTTAGTGTGTAATGTTGCTGTTTGAGCATAAACAATATCTGCAAAGTTACAAAGCTGAAAGTTCAATGCAAACGATATACGGATATATCGTCTTTTAAAATTCTGGCGGTTTAATGCCTACAAAAATGGCTGGTAGGGACTACAACGAGTTATTTTCCGGGTTCGAGACATCACAAACCCAGATAAACCCCACTCTCGGTATAAGCGATATTAACGACGCCGTTGTTTACAATACAACCGGAGCACATGCCTCTGAGGTGAGGGGCGGGACATTTAGACACCAGTGTTTCCCCTAGGTTTACGGCTTTGGGGGGGGTTTCTGGACTCCTTTTTAATGGTTCAGCAAAGGGAGCGAGGCCATGCTGCGCTGCTTTAGAGAAGAGGACTTCTAGAAAACTAGAGGTGCACGTAAAAATCTGTTCAGATATGAATCGCGATTCTGTCTTCTAACGATTCTAATGGATTCACAAGTTTCAAAATCAATGTTCTGAAGCAGCGGTTCTTAATACTGTTCCTCGCGTCGCCTGCTCAGCACACGGTCTGCATCTCTCTCTCTCTCTCTCTCTCTCTCTCTTTCTCATTCAGATTATCAGCTCAGCTCTGTTCCATTTATACACTTATTTTCACATAGCTATGAGAAGCGTTATACATGGATGCGCGTGCAGTTGCCGTACTGTATTACAGCTTTAATCAGGGTAAAACCATATATTAAAAGCTAACATAAGCAGTAGCATTTACAAATAACAGCATATCTAAAGTATGAGACAAAAAACATAGGCCTACCATTAAAAGCCGTGCTTGCACAGGTTCTGCACGATCCTCTTCAAAAATATCCTCTGCTTCTCAACCGGGCTCAAACTGATAAGCGATATTAACGACGCCGTTGTTTACAATACAACCGGAGCACATGCCTCTGAGGTGAGGGGCGGGACATTTAGACACCAGTGTTTCCCCTAGGTTTACGGCTTTGGGGGGGGTTTCTGGACTCCTTTTTAATGGTTAAATTACATTTTATTAATCAAAACGCATGTCTAATTAATTAAAATCATATTTAACATCAATTTAAATGCCAATCACAACACACTGGGCTAGCTAACCAATCAGAGCCCATCGCCTATTTCTGAGGGCGGGGCTTCATAAAAGAAGTAAATGATCAGCCCATTTCTCAGAGAAGGTATAGAGCGGTGTGGAATAAAGGTAAATTATGTGAAAAATAATGCGGTTTTTTTTAAATGAAGCATTAACACATGTTAGACTGCACCCCATAAACACAATCAAGCCTAGAAAAAGACCAGTGAACCAACCCTTTAACACTTGCCACTAGCACACAGACATGTTTTAGTTTAATTACACAATTAGTTTAATTTAAAAGAACATACACTTTTCAGTCTAGGTACTCTCAACAACTAAAACTTTATGGCTGGAGATGTACAGTAAGCCTAGCGGTTAGCACATGCAGTTAACACGTGACTTTTTTTTTCTCCCCAGAATTGGAGAGAGAGAAGATGTCTTTTCAGGAGGATTAGTGAAGTTGTATTAAGTGCTAAATGTGGTGTCGTGTACCTGTCTAGTGTCAGGAGTGAGAAGGTGCTGTGAATAAACTTGTCTCTAAAGGAAACACATCAATTAAATGATTCTTTTCCTCATTTGAAGATGTCCTGCTTCAGTGGCCTGTTTTTGATTCCATGAAAGTTGATAATTTGATCTGTTTAGGTAGGGATTATGGGCAACATTTTAGATGGACTCTTAAATATCAGATGAGCGTTAAGAATGTTTCCAGATTTAGTTTGAATATTCAAGGTGTGGCTGAAAATTTCTCCCTCCCTCCCTCACTCCATCTCGTGTGTAACGTAACTCAACTCTTATAAATGCTGCCCGCTGTCATGAGAGAGGACTGTAATGGAGCTTTAGCATCTCTGTCATTTCATTAGTGCTGTTTGCTAAGACAAACATCACTTTTTCTGTTGGTCATACTTGAGGTTAGGGATTTGAATAAACCTCTTATGCTCTGTATTACATTTACATTTAACATTTAGCAGACGCTTTTAATCCAAAGCGCATTAAAACTGCATAAATTGTCTGGCACAATTTCTGCCACCTCAGATTTTGTTTGGAGGAGGTGTGCTATTCCTTTCTTGATTTTTTTTTTTCCCCCCTCACCTGAAAGATGATAAAACAGGTGATTTATGTTTGGAAGATGTACCTGACCCATATCTATGGATCAGAATATCTTGAGGGTGGGAGCTTTTGACCCGGATAGTTTAGCATTAAAATATATATAAAAATTAGTTTGTTTCTTGTTGTGCTTTCTTCAGTAGCATTTTAATATTTCATCTCATAATGATATTCTGTCTCTTTCTCCCTCAGCGATCCTACACACTCATCCTGGAAGCCTGGGACTGGGATAACTCCACTCAGAACAGTGAGTATTCCTCTTTAACCGCTATATGATTTACTGCTGCAGGCTGCTGTAGCCTTTCTGGGTTGGGTTTGATGCTCATAATGGCTGTTGAGCGTTGTTAATCTTTAGTTTTGTGCTTTAGAGAGTGACTTCGTATGTGGAGATACTTGAGGATGAGATAAAAGTGTTAAAGCTGCCCCGCTGATGTGCTGTAATTTTAGCGCTGGGGAATTCGTTGGGGCGTGTCAGGGTTTTATTGGGCACACATGGGGTTATTTAAGGATTTTTTTGTGGGCATTAAATGTAAAAGTTGTCAGTTTTCATGTAGGTACTAGGGCTGTGCGATTTGGGGGGAAATATCGCTTTTGATATGCGCTGTGACGCAGCTCTTGGAAATTACCTTTTTTGTTTGTTGTCTGTCATTTTGAAGCTTACCTTGCATACGTTTTTCTTTAGTTTTAATTTGCCTAACTATCGATCTGACCCAGTTGATGCCATAATCCCACTCTGTCTCTCTCCTGCGTTTTTTTTTTATGGTGGGTGTTTACTCAGTTGGCTAGAGCAGTGCTGATTGGGGAGAACGGAGGTGCGCTCACTCTGTTGGTTAGTAAGACTGCAGCTCAAGGCTGGCAATCATGCATATGCTCTGGAACAAAGTAATATCGCGTCCATATCGCAGGCTTTGCGATTAGGAAATCACAACGTCTCAAATCGCGATTTCGATGCGATTTCGATGAATCGCACAGCCCTAGTAGGTACTGATATAGAGGGTTGTAGGTATGCATTGAGTTTGATATTTCTAACCGCACTAAGCAGGGCCTCATAATTTTTGACAGAATTATTGAGATATGTTGCTTACCCAAGAATCGTTACCTGAGCTTCCAAAGCATTCCAGAGCTGGGAACCTCACACAAATGTGTGGTTTAAGGCTCAAATGAGCACAATCTTGTGTCTTCCACACCTGCTTCAGTAGTGCACACAAGTCCACCAAGATTTCCCAATAAACCTGAACATCTGAAGGCCTTTATGGATTGTAGCTGCTGGGTGAAATGTCCGAGGATCTTGAATATTGAGTCATACACATAAATTACAGATGAGTTATTGCCACATAGTCAGCAAGCATGATAATGTTCAATTGTTTGGATTACTGTGGTTTGTAAGACAGATATGTTGATCAGAGTCATAAGCAAGCAGAGCTGCAATTATTTTTAGTTCCTTCAGGCCCAAATGTGTTAAATGCATTCATTTTTTTTCCATATTCGAGTGAAAATCTCAACTGAATATGAGATCTTAAGCTGCAATCCCCTAACCCTGGTTCTTGGGGGGCTTCCATCATGTAAGGATCTTGGGGAAACAACATTGGTTCCATAATTCCACAGCTGTATCCTGTTTTCTCCCGCCGCCTTTGTCTGGCTTGAGGAATTGTCGGGAGGAAAGGGTCAGGCGGAGGAATTCGACGTGTGCAAAAGAAAGGTGAACGCTGGTAAAACTGGAGATACAGAGGGGGAGCCTGGCTTTGATCTGCGGATGTGATCTGTAGAATCACTGTACTCTATATCCCAGTGTCTGTAAAACTCCAAATGCAAACACTCTCTCTCTGCTTGAAGTCATTACGTCCTGTTTTTCATTTCATCTTTGCATGCACTTCAGCCCTAAACAGTGGTCCAGAGGATGCTTGTTTGACTCACTGCAGTGAGTCAAGCATCTTGTAGGCCTCTTCTCCATGGAGTTTGCTCGTTAGGAGTACATTGAGCGTGACTTTAGAGAAACGCAATGCAGGTGTCTGGTTTTGTTTAATCAGCGTTTGAACTATATACCGACCACCAGACTGACTAAATTTTAGGGATGCACCAATACCGATACTGGCATTGAGCTTCTATATTTCTCTAATATTTTGAATGAATAATGCAGCAGCGGTGTGTCTCGTGGGCTAGACTAACAAAATATTAAAATGCAACAACATCACTTGCATCATCACTGCATCTCGCACGCCACTGATGATGCTCCCTGATGCACACCTAACATTCAAATGCAAATGTTTATTTTAAATTCGACTAATATTCATTCTTTATTCACAATCTCCTCATCACAGGCAGGCACAACACTCATTTCAGCATGTGTTCGTGTGCTGTCTGTGTCACTCATAGTACGTGCCTATATCGTCCGCTATATCGAAAAAAATTTATTTCGATATCGAAGGTGTCTCATTAGAGTGTTAGTAGACTGTCTAATTAATATCTGCTAAATCGTTGTTGTGATGTTCTCCCAACAGACATTATACTGACTATAAGTAACTTTGCAAGTACATGTCAACTTATTCTAACCATAACCCTACCAGTCTACTAATACTCTACTAACACCATAATGAGAGTTAATAGACAAGTAGGTGCAACATTACTTAGTTAACAGAATGTGTTAAAGGGACTGTCAAAATAAAGTGTTAATTTGTGTTTTTGTTTGGTGGTTTTTATTATTATTATTTATTTATTTATTTATTTTTGCTATATGATAGTCACATAAAAAACTTTGTGTTGTGTCAGCGAAGAGTTTGAGATGAAATATGAGATGTGTGAAGAAAACTGAGAAATCAAGATAAATATCACTAGAGTACATTATTTATAAAGGGGTCATGATGTTGCTAAAAAGAACATTATTTTGTGTATTTGGTGTAATGAAATGTTTATGTGGTTTAAGGTTCAAAAAACACATTATTTTCCACATACTGGACATAATTTTTTTCCTCTATGCCCTGCCTTTCTGAAATGCGTCGATTTTTACAAAGCTCATCGGTCTGAAAAGCGATGTGTACTCTGATTGGCCGTCTATCCAGTGCGTTGTGATTGGCCGAATACGTCAAGCGTGTGACGGAAATGTTACGCCCCTCACCATACTGTGATGCCGTGTCCCGGAGCGATGAGACAAAACCAGTAAAACCCATTATAAACGAGGCATTTGTTGCATCCAGTGGGGACATAATTACGGATTGTAATGACTTATACTTAGGTCTGTCACGATAACAACGTTTTGTTGTGCGATATATTGCCCCAGAAATAATTGCGATAAGCGATATTATTGTAATTTTAAAGACCATTTTATGCCACTGAATATATAATCATAATGTATCAGCATAATAATGCATGAAGGCCTACACACTTCCACATGACAACAAATTTTAATTTTTAAGAATATTTAGATCATGGAAATTAAGTATCAAAATATTAGATACCTTAAAAAACTTGAATAAATAGTAAATAAACATTTTCTAACAAAAAGTGCAAAGTAACGAGTAAAAAAAAAAAAAGCACATTTATGACGATTTTTCCATCTACAGATTTTTCCCGGACCTTCTTTTCTCTGTACATTAAGGGTGCACACTATTGCTGAAAAACACAATCACTGCTAATCAGTCAGATGCCCGTATGCAAAAAGGCACAGATCCCTAAACAAGGCCATATCTGCAGAT